AACTAACGACTGGTAACGCGTACGAACTAAGGACTTGTAACGCGTACAAATTAACGACTGGTAACGCGTACAAACTAACGACTGGTAACGCGTACAAACTAACGACTGGTAACGTGTACGAACTAACCACTGCTAACGCGTACGAACTAACCACTGCTAACGCGTATGAACTAACGACTGCTAACGCGCACTAACTAACGACTGGTAACGCGTACGAACTAACGACTGGTAACTCGTACGAATCTACGACTTGTAACTCGTACGAACTAAAAACTGGTAACGCGCACTAACTAAAGACTGGTAACGCGTACGAAATAAAAGCTACTAACGCGCACGAACCAACGACTGGTAACGCGTTACGAACTAAAAAGTGGTAACGAGTACGACCCAGTAACGACTTGTAACGCGTATGACTTAAGGAAAAATAAGGTAATTCCATTTTTTTTTTCTTTTTTTGCATTGCGCATTTTTCTGCTCATAGTAGTAAAAGCATGGAACTTACACAGTTTCGCCATTTTCCTTCGACATATTTTTACTAAGAAACAATTCAATCGAAGCCCAATGGTTACAATGGTAAGCGACCACCTCGAGAATCCGAAAAAGTAATCGCAAGTAGAGCTGGTCGCTTACGAGAACTGCTCTGGTAAGCGACCACGCGTTAGAAAAATAGTGACTCGTCGCTTACGGGAGCTTTTTTAAAGCTTTTTTTAATGCAAAGTGCCGAACAACTACAAAAATTTTGTTATACTTTAACGGTGATTTTATATCCTTTGCATTACTGTCTTCAAATGAAGTGTTGAGTGATACTACAGTAATCAGGAATTCCCTTGGTGGTCGCTTACGAGAGCTAAAAACAAAAGGAAAACACACTAGGTAATTTCTGAAAGTGGTCGCGGTCCCTTACAGAAGCTTCGTATTACAAAGTTTGTATGGGGCGATGCAAACGGGGTTTCAAAATCGCGGTCGTAACTAGAGCTGGCCGCTTACGGGAGTGGTAGAAACCCGGAGTAGTCAATCGATAAAAATCGATAGAAATCAGCTGATTTGTATCGATTTTTATGGGAAATCGTTTAAAATCGATAAAAAAAATTGGTGTGAGTTCGATTTTTATCGATCAAGATTTGACAGCTTTAATTC